AGTTTCCGACTTGCAATTCCGAGTTGGGTGACTGTTCAAAATGTATTTTCCCAATCTGAGCTGGTTTTCTTGAACTCACTGAAGTCAGATTTCCCAGTTCCGAGTTTCCAGTTGTTTTGAGTGCGGCAGAAGTCATGCTGGATTGACAGGATGGCCAATGTTGAATGTTTATCCTGTTAAGCTTGGAAAAGAAACCCTTAAACCCAGACTTGGGACCACACATCCACTCCACTGAACAGCAGGCTAGTGACTGCTTTGCAATGCTTGCAGTTAGCCACTGATTCCTTCCAAACCATTAATTGATGAATTTGCGATTTCCAACTTGTTGTGTAATGTTTATGTCCAATGGCCGATGAGCACCAATACGTTTTATCTATAATTTCTCTTCATATGACAAGGATTAAAAAGGATTTGCCAGTAGATAGTCGACTTGATTCATGATGACTGCTAGCTAAGATTTTGAAAGTATGACGTTGACATGATCAGTCCAATCAAAGCTACTGTAGATATGTGATTTTACGTCATTTTATCTGTGGCCAATGACCTTGAGCCTTCTTGGATGGGCACTTCTAATGTAACTCTATGGCAGCACCCAAGGGGCTTGAATTTTCGAGCTCTACCCTTAGATTTGGCGGTGATGTAGTGTCCCCATGAGTGACAGAACACTGAGCCAATCACGGTGCAACTAGAGAACATTACCCAATCACGGCGCAACTAGAGAACATTACCAACCTTACGCTCCGTATTTTCCGCTGGCTGCCCCACCACCACAGAAAGCACTCCTCTAGGCTGAAACACCTGCATTTTGGAGCTGCCTTACTCAAGAAAGCAAAAAAGAGACCAAGTTTGTATGCAGCTTTATTAACTCAATGATTTTGTAAATATTTTTTTTTACATTGTTTGCAAAACAGGCACCCCCTACCCATATTTTTTATTTTTTGCTAAAAGGTGGGGCTCTGAATGACGGGTCGCCACCGTCTTCTTGCCACTGTAAGATACGCACGCTCTCACTGTGTACTTTAAGTTCCCAGTAGGCCAGAGTAGACTGATAGAGGACATAACAGTTTGTGGTTATAATTATAATAAATCAATACAATAGAATGGTCCGCCCTGTTCTTCATTCACAATGGGTGATTATTATAATTATGCATCGTTCGCTTCCCCTCGTTCATCAATGCTCCCCCATATTTTAGCCTGCTTCATTAATTTCATCTGTTATTATATGTGTGGAATTAGTTCCAGTATAATTTAGGTTCACATTTCGAGGCAATTATCAGGGTAATTTTCAACTGGGCATGGCATCTTCAACTATCGGGAGAAGAATGGGAGCCCTACTGTTGAGAAGAGGGGCAACGGGGCTGATGTCAACGTTGTGAACAGAGTGCCCCATGGTGGCGGTGGGGATATGGTATGGGCATGCATAAGCTACGGACAACGAACACAATTGCATTTTATCGATTTAAATTTGAATGCACAGAGATACCGTGACGAGATCCTGAGGCCCATTGTCGTGCCATTCATCCGCCGCCATCACCTCATGTTTCAGCATGATAATGCACAGAACATGTCGCAAGGATATGTACACAATTCCTGGAAGCTGAAAATGTCCCAGTTCTTCCATGGCCTGCATACTCACCAGACGTCACCCATTACAGTCATGTGTGCATACATTTTTACGTATGGGTGGTCCCGGGGATCGAACCCACTACCCTGGCGTTACAAGCGCCATGCTCTACCAATTGAGCTACAGAGGACCACCCAGCATGTTTGGGATGCTCTGGATTTACGTGTACGACAGCGTGTTCCAGTTCCCCCCCAATATCCAGCAACTTCGCACAGCCATTGAAGAGGAGTGGGACAACATTCCACAGGCCACAATCAACAGCCTGATCAACTCTATGCAAAGGAGATGTCGCATTGCTTGAGGCAAATGTTGGTCACACCAGATACTGACTGGTTTTCTGATCCACGCCCCTACCTTTTTAAAAAAAGGTATCTGTGACCAACAGATGCATATCTGTATTCCCAGTCATGTGAAATCCATAGATTAGGGCCTAATGAATTTATTTCAATTGACTGAATTCCTTATATGAACTGCAACTCAGTAAAATCTTTGAAATTGTTGCACGTTGCGTTTATATTTGTGTTCAGTGTAGCATCGTTGTGTTACTATTTCCTTTTATTTTTAGCATTTATTTTCTTACTTTTGAACTCTGCATTGTTGGGAAAGGGCTAGTAAATGAGCATTTAACGATTAGGTCTCCCGAGTGGCGCAGTGGTCTAAGGCACTGCATCGCTGTGCCACTAGAGATCCTGGTTCGAATCCAGGCTCTGTCATAGCCGGCCGCGACTGGGAGACCCATGGGGCGGCGCACAATTGGCCCAGCGTCATCCAGGGTAGGGGAGGGAATGGCCGGCAGGGATGTAGCTCAGTTGGTAGAGCATGGCGTTTGCAACGCCAGGGTTGTGGGTTCGTTTCCCACGGGGGGCCAGTATGAAAAAATATATATAAAATAAAAATTATGTATGCACTCACTAACTGTAAGTCGCTCTGGATAAGAGCGTCTGCTAAATGACTAAAAATGTAAGTCTACACCTGTTGTATTTGGGACGTGACTAATAGAATGTTTTACATTTTAGTTATTTAGCAGAAGCTCTTATCCAGAGCGACTTACAGGAGCAATTAGGGTTAAGTGCCTTGCTCAAGGGCACATCGGCAGATTTTTCACCTAGTCGCCTCTGGGATTAGAACCAGTGACCTTTCGGGTACTGGCACAACGCTCTTAACCACTAAGCTACCTGCCGCCCTAGGTAGGTATATTATTTGGTTGTTATGTGGAGCAGCTCACCAAAGACCGACAGCGGTAGGAAAGATGTTCCAAGTTATGTCTACCAGTAAATGCAAAGCCAAGAATGGGTTTGCAAACCAAATAAAAAAGTTCAAAGTCTTGGTTGAATATTTGTGATGTGCAATTCAGTCATCGTTGAATAGCCAACCTTGAAAATCTGACATTTCCTCTAGTCTCTTTGGTGCTTGAAAAGCCCTTGACATTATGGTAGCCGATTTAGAAGTTCTACTGCTCCAATATAATTATTCTGTGATTTAATTGCTGATCAGTTTCCATGAGATGTAGCCGCTTTGGTTTGCTTCCCGACGTTTCAATTGAAGGGTCTGTTGCATGTGCAGCTACGAGCGAGACAACATCGAAATGTTGTCGTCTTCAACCTGGTTAATCCATACAAAGCGTTCCATTACAAAGTGAACCCAGTTTTTGGTCGCTTTCTCATTTTAAAACATGATACAATAACCCCTCAATAACTCTTCAACATCTCAAATGGAGAGACTGACTAGCTACCACATGGACAGACGTCATTAGTGCGTTTGTATCGGGAGCATCCAATCTATTTATTCAGGCAATGTTCACATTATTTCAGAATGCACAAATCATTTGAATGTCAAGGCACAGTGCCATTGGGTAGGCCTATATAAAAAAACCTAAGTCAGATCTTGACCGGGGCCTGTATTATTTTCCAATCGGGCCAGTAGCTTTCAGTTGGCACTAGCCCGGTGTGCCACTGGCGACTTCATCTGAATGTCGATGAGCATCTCAGAATTGAAGTGCTGATCTAGGATCAGGACCCCCTGTCCATTCATTATGATCTGGTCCTAGATCAGCAGGTTTATGAATACGGGCCAGCTCGGTAGAGAGGGCCCTGTCCATTCATTATGATCTGGTCCTAGATCAGCAGGTTTATGAATATGGGGCCAGCTCGGTAGAGAGGGCCCTGTCCATTCATTATGATCTGGTCCTAGATCAGCAGGTTTATGAATATGGGGCCAGCTCGGTAGAGAGGGCCCTGTCCATTCATTATGATCTGGTCCTAGATCAGCAGGTTTATGAATATGGGGCCAGCTCGGTAGAGAGGGGCCCTGTCCATTCATTATGATCTGGTCCTAGATCAGCAGGTTTATGAATATGGGGCCAGCTCGGTAGAGAGGGCCCTGTCCATTCATTATGATCTGGTCCTAGATCAGCAGGTTTATGAATATGGGGCCAGCTCGGTAGAGAGGGCCCTGTCCATTCATTATGATCTGGTCCTAGATCAGCAGGTTTATGAATATGGGGCCAGCTCGGTAGAGAGGGCCCTGTCCATTCATTATGATCTGGTCCTAGATCAGCAGGTTTATGAATATGGGGCCAGCTCGGTAGAGAGGGCCCTGTCCATTCATTATGATCTGGTCCTAGATCAGCAGGTTTATGAATATGGGGCCAGCTCGGTAGAGAGGGCCCTGTCCATTCATTATGATCTGGTCCTAGATCAGCAGGTTTATGAATATGGGGCCAGCTCGGTAGAGAGGGCCCTGTCCATTCATTATGATCTGGTCCTAGATCAGCAGGTTTATGAATATGGGGCCAGCTCGGTAGAGAGGGCCCTGTCCATTCATTATGATCTGGTCCTAGATCAGCAGGTTTATGAATACGGGGCCAGCTCGGTAGAGAGGGCCCTGTCCATTCATTATGATCTGGTCCTAGATCAGCAGGTTTATGAATACGGGGCCAGCTCGGTAGAGAGGGCCCTGTCCATTCATTATGATCTGGTCCTAGATCAGCAGGTTTATGAATATGGGGCCAGCTGTGTCTGGTAGTACAGATGTAATCTTTGGACAGAAGAGATGAAATTAAATACAATTTATTCTTCAGTGTGAAACAAACAGGGAAGATCTGATACAGATAAGAAACTAACTTCAACAGAAACATGACAATGAGGCTGATTATTATTTACATTCAAAACTAGATTCAACGAGTGTAAGAGACACTGTCTGATAGTAACTCCATTCACTTCCCCTCTAATGTAAGAGATATGACGATAACTCCCTCCAGCCAATGCTTTAAGTTGTTTAGTTGGGTTGAACGAGAACACACTGAGTAGAGGCAGGTAGAGAATTGACAAAGATGACAATAAAGAACATATTTGGAATCTGACAGTGATGTCATCAGTCATGTGTGTGTTTCCCTGACGACGCGGCTGCGGTTGCCGTGGAGCTGAGCCAGCAGGGTTCTGAAGCCGCCGCTCCTCTTCCTGGGCTCCTCCTCCTGTGGGGGCGTGGCCTCCTCCTGGGCCAGGGTTTCCATGGTAACAGAGGAGGGGGACACCTGGAAGGTGAGGACCCTGCGTGTACGCGCCAGCCCGCTGTCATCACCGTTCTCCTGCTGGTCACAACATACACAACAGAGATTTAACTCTAACCACTAGGGATGGGGGTTTGAAATCATTTCACTATCCGAATAGTATCATGAATTTGAGTCAGATATCCAGAATACATTTTTAACCTGAGCACTGCTGCGCGAGGAAAGGCTGGTGCTCTATTGCTGCGGAGGTGACGGTGAGATGGGAGCGAGTAGATGGAGGCAGAGAGAAGCTACTCGGCTACAGCCAAGACTACCTTGTAGCAGCCACAATGGGCTGGAGTAGCCTAGAGTAGAGAAGCTAGCTAGGCTAGTCAGCCATATAGCCTAGAGACTAGAGAAGCTAGCTAGGCTAGTCAGCTATATAGCCTAGAGACTAGAGAAGCTAGCTAGGCTAGTCAGCTATATAGCCTAGAGAAGCTAGCTAGGCTAGTCAGCTATATAGCCTAGAGACTAGAGAAGCTAGCTAGGCTAGTCAGCTATATAGCCTAGAGACGAGAGAAGCTAGCTAGGCTAGTCAGCCATATAGCCTAGAGACTAGAGAAGCTAGCTAGGCTAGTCAGCTATATAGCCTAGAGACGAGAGAAGCTAGCTAGGCTAGTCAGCTATATAGCCTAGAGAAGCTAGCTAGGCTAGTCAGCTATATAGCCTAGAGAAGCTAGCTAGGCTAGTCAGCTATATAGCCTAGAGAAGCTAGCTAGGCTAGTCAGCTATATAGCCTAGAGACTAGAGAAGCTAGCTAGGCTAGTCAGCTATATAGCCTAGAGACTAGAGAAGCTAGCTAGGCTAGTCAGCTATATAGCCTAGAGACTAGAGAAGCTAGCTAGACTAGTCAGCTATATAGCCTAGAAACTAGAGAAGCTAGCTAGACTAGTCAGCTATATAGCCTAGAGACTAGAGAAGCTAGCTAGACTAGTCAGCTATATAGCCTAGAGACTAGAGAAGCTAGCTAGGCTAGTCAGCCATATAGCCTAGAGAAGCTAGCTAGGCTAGTCAGCTATATAGCCTAGAGACTAGAGAAGCTAGCTAGGCTAGTCAGCTATATAGCCTAGAGAGCTAGCTAGGTAGTCAGCTATATAGCCTAGAGAAAGCTTAGCTAGGCTTTAGTCCAGCTATAGATAGCCTAGAGAATGCTAGACTAGTCAGCTATATAGCCTAGAGACTAGAGAAGCTAGCTAGGCTAGTCAGCTATATAGCCTAGAGACTAGAGAAGCTAGCTAGGCTAGTCAGCTATATAGCCTAGAGACTAGAGAAGCTAGCTAGGCTAGTCAGCTATACTAGGACTAGAGAAGCTAGCTATGCTAGTCAGCTATATAGCCTAGAGAAGCTAGCTAGGCTAGTCAGCTATATAGCCTAGAAACTAGAGAAGCTAGCTAGGCTAGTCAGCTATATAGCTAGCTAGGCTAATTGAGGCCACATTGTGCTTTCTCCACAAAACCATTCAGATAACACAGTAGCCTACCTGTTGGTGCTCGTTGTAGCCTACTTCTCATTTCGCTAACTTCATTTAATTCCATCTTGCGTTGCCTTAGTGAACGGTCACTCCACTAGAGCCTCTTTGCTGCTTTGATTGGCCAACATACAGTGAGGGGAAAAAAGTATTTGATCCCCTGCTGATTTTGTAAGTTTGCCCACTGACAAAGAAATGATCAGTCTATAATTTTAATAGTAGGTTTATTTGAACAGTGAGAGACAGAATAACAACAAAAAAATCCAGAAAAACGTATGTCAAAAATGTTATAAATTGATTTGCATTTTAATGAGGGAAATAAGTATTTGACCCCCTCTCAATCAGAAAGATTTCTGGCTCCCAGGTGTCTTTTATACAGGTAACGAGCTGAGATTAGGAGCACACTCTTAAAGGGAGTGCTCCTAATCTCAGCCTGTTACCTGTATAAAAGACACCTGTCCACAGAAGCAATCAATCAATCAGATTCCAAACTCTCCACCATGGCCAAGACCAAAGAGCTCTCCAAGGATGTCAGGGACAAGATTGTAGACCTACACAAGGCTGGAATGGGCTACAAGACCATCGCCAAGCAGCTTGGTGAGAAGGTGACAACAGTTGGTGCGATTATTCGCAAATGGAAGAAACACAAAATAACTGTCAATCTCCCTTGGCCTGGGGCTCCATGCAAGATCTCACCTCGTGGAGTTGCAATGATCATGAGAACGGTGAGCAAAAATCCCAGAACCACACAGGGGGACCTAGTGAATGACCTGCAGAGAGCTGGGACCAAAGTAACAAAGCCTACCATCAGTAACACACTACGCCGCCAGGGACTCAAATCCTGCAGTGCCAGACGTGTCCCCCTGCTTAAGCCAGTACATGTCCAGGCCCGTCTGAAGTTTGCTAGAGTGCATTTGGATGATCCAGAAGAGGATTGGGAGAATGTCATATGGTCAGATGAAACCAAAATATAACTTTTTGGTAAAAACTCAACTCGTCGTGTTTGGAGGACAAAGAATGCTGAGTTGCATCCAAAGAACACCATACCTACTGTGAAGCATGGGGGTGGAAACATCATGCTTTGGGGCTGTTTTTCTGCAAAGGGACCAGGACGACTGATCCGTGTAAAGGAAAGAATGAATGGGGCCATGTATCGTGAGATTTTGAGTGAAAACCTCCTTCCATCAGCAAGGGCATTGAAGATGAAACGTGGCTGGGTCTTTCAGCATGACAATGATCCCAAACACACCGCCCAGGCAACGAATGAGTGGCTTCGTAAGAAGCATTTCAAGGTCCTGGAGTGGCCTAGCCAGTCTCCAGATCTCAACCCAATAGAAAATCTTTGGAGGGAGTTGAAAGTCCGTGTTGCCCAGCGACAGCCCCAAAACATCACTGCTCTAGAGGAGATCTGCATGGAGGAATGGGCCAAAATACCAGCAACAGTGTGTGAAAACCTTGTGAAGACTTACAGAAAACGTTTGACCTGTGTCATTGCCAACAAAGGGTATATAACAAAGTATTGAGAAACTTTTGTTATTGACCAAATACTTATTTTCCACCATAATTTGCAAATAAATTCATTAAAAATCCTACAATGTGATTTTCTGGATTATTTTTCTCATTTTGTCTGTCATAGTTGACGTGTACCTATGATGAAAATTACAGGCCTCTCATCTTTTTAAGTGGGAGAACTTGCACAATTGGTGGCTGACTAAATACTTTTTTCCCCCACTGTATGCAAGCCCGTCTGAAGTTTGCCAATGAACATCTGACTGATTCAGAGGAGAACTGGGTGAAAATGTGTTGTGGTCAGATGAGACCAAAATCGAGCTCTTTGGCATCAACTCAACTCGCCGTGTTTGGAGGAGGAGGAATGCTGCCTATGACCCCAAGAACACCATCCCCACCGTCAAACATGGAGGTGGAAACATTATGCTTTGGGTGTGTTTTTCTGCTGAGGGGACAGGACAACTTCACTGCATCAAAGGGACGATGGACGGGGCCATGTACCGTCAAATCTTGGGTGAGAACCTCCTTCCCTCAGCCAGGGCATTGAAAATGGGTCGTGGATGGGTATTCCACTATGACAATGACCCAAAACACATGACCAAGGCAACAAAGGAGTGGCTCAAGAAGAAGCACATTAAGGTCCTGGAGTGGCCTAGCCAGTCTCCAGACCTTAATCCCATAGAACCATTTTCCTTGGAACAATGCGCCTTGAATGTGTTCTGTGTCACAAAATCGATGCCAAGGGGAGTCTCAAATACTTTTTTCCCTCACTGTAAACAACAAGCTACTTGGTGAAGGCTACCGGTCTTTTTATGGGGTGCACCTCATAACTACATTGAAAAGTTTGTGGTTTTATTAACTTAATAATTTGAAATGTCATTGTATATCCCTGTATGCAACAATGTCACATGGATATTATAATTTAATTTAGAAAAAGCCAGCGTTAAAAAGGCCTATACATTTGATTTTTTCACAGCAGCGCAAGACAGAACTTTGTGGAATAACGCAAATCTGGGCTACCTACCACCTCTCCATCAGGACCGCTGCTATGGAGACCGCTGCTATGGAGACCGCTGCTATGGAGACCACTGCGATTGAGACCACTGCGATTGAGACCACTGCGATTGAGACCACTGCGATTGAGACTGTTGCTTTGGACGCATGTTCCCGCCCTCTGACGACGACCTCTGGACCTCTTCTTTCTCTTCCTCCCTCTGCTCACAGCCTGCCTCTCATATCTCCTCAGGTTCCTACACACAATGTGTTTGTTACTTCAGTGTGTGAGTGAGTGTGTGTGTGTTACCTCAGTGTGTGAGTGTGTGTGTGTGTGTGTGTTACCTCAGTGTGTGAGTGTGTGTGTTACCTCAGTGTGTGAGTGAGTGTGTGTGTTACCTCAGTGTGTGTGTGTGTGTGTGTTACCTCAGTGTGTGAGTGAGTGTGTGTGTGTTACCTCAGTGTGTGAGTGAGTGTGTGTTACCTCAGTGTGTGAGTGTGTTACCTCTGTAGGAAGATGTGTGGTCTGGAGCAGGCTGGCTGTTCTCCCCCAGTGTGTGAGTGTGTGTGTGTGTTACCCCAGTGTGTGAGTGAGTGTGTGTGTTACCTCAGTGTGTGAGTGTGTTACCTCTGTAGGAAGATGTGTGGTCTGGAGCAGGCTGGCTGTTCTCCTCCAGTCTGCTCTCTGTGTCTGATCCGGCCCAGATGGATCCACAGCCTCCTGACAACAACAGTACTGTGGGTTACACACACACACACACACACACACTATTATATCTCTCTCTCTTACCCTTTAACGTTCTGTGGTCTTCTAGGTGTCCACTTCTTCATGAGAACCCATTGGTCACATGACAAGGAAGTGGGATCTGATAGACCAATCAGAGAGAAGGGCTGTTAGAATCAGAGATCTGCACCTGCTCAGTGAGTCAGTAGGTTTGTTTTGCTAGGCAACACTTCTCTGACAGGGTGTGTGTGTGTGTGTGTGTTCACCGTCGTCTGTTAGTGTGTCCAGCGGAGTGTGTCCTCTCCTCTTGGCTTCTCTGTGAAGTCTCTGACAGGTCAAACACAGACCAGGGGGAGGAGTTAGTGGAGTGGCCTGAACCATGAAGGAGGGGCCAGAGGCAATGCTGTCCACTGAGCAGCAGGATTCAGCGTCTGACTCTACGCCCCTTTCCGTCTGCCCTGTCACCTTTCCACCAATCACAGCCTTCCCCTGGCTGACTGACAGCTCTAGCGGTGATGACCCACATCCTGAGACACTGCGGTTTCCATGGTAATGGTCAATCAGGTCATGATCCGTGGCCTCGTCTGAGATCACGATGCTGGAGTCAGAAGAGTCCCATCCCGGCCCTGCCCCCTCACCCTTCCCTTGCCGCCCACTACTCCTCATCCCCGGCTGGGCAGCAGGATCACTGGGGGCCCAGGCTTCAGAGGCCTTGTTGGAGGCTGAGCGACTCAGTCTGGATGGACCCATGGAGCTTCCCCACCTCACACAATACTGCAGATTCACCTGCAACACAGGGAGAGCATTACACACACACACACCCTGCAGATTCACCTGCAACACAGGGAGATCACACCCCCTTGCTCTGGACCAGAACAACAAGGTCTGAAGGAGAAGTAGCTAGATAGCTAGTACCCATTTCAGACAGAATATGTGGTATATTACCTGTATAAAATATAAGGCAATGTTTCTATGAGCCCCTTTCAAACAGACCCTTATTTACCACTGTCTTGCAGGTGTACCCCTTTATATATTATCAGTGGGTAACTAGCAGATTGGAAGGGTGGTGTTCTTAAGGTAACTGTCCAGTGTTTCCAGATTTCTATGAAATATTACCTATTTTTGAACTTTTCCTGTTGAAAAGTGACATCCCAGGTGTAAATACTGTAAAGTACACACACTAAAGGGTAAAACAAATATGTTGAGTAAAATAGTGTTTTTTAGACATGTGCAAACTTCAAGCAGTAAGGCTTTCAAGGTGTTGAGGATCAATGAAGAGGTACTCTACCCACATGTACATATTACCTCAATTACCTCGACTAACCGGTGCCCCAGCACATTGACTCTGTACCGGTACCCACTGTATATAACCTCCCTACTATTATTTTATTTTACAGCTGCTCTTTAATTATTTGCTTTATTTTTTACTTAACACTTTTGTTATTTTCTTAACTGCATTGTTGGTTAAGGGCTTGTAAGTAAGCATTTTACTGTAATGTCTACACCTGTTGTATTCGTCGCATTTGACAAATTCAATTTGATACTTGAGCTGTCATGACTTACCTGGACCACCTATTCAGATGTGCCTTTTGTTAAGTAAATCGGGTGTTAAATGAGGTGAAAAGGAGACTGGAGTGTCACTTTAATAATTTGCCTTTAGCTGCCTACCCTGATGTAACCACCTGTCTCATCTCCTTGACTTCCTTGGTCTGTCGAATATTGAGACCTGTGAATAAAAGGACCAGCAGTTAGCTGCCTAGCTAGCTAGCCCCACTAACGTTACTTCTGTCTGTTGTAGCTAACATGCTGCTAGTTAGCTAAGGCAAATGACTGTACTCAAATCTGACCAGCTAGCTACAACAAATGCCCGAGCCACACCTAATTCTCTGCCTGGGCCGGGTACAATGCAACTATAAACCTCAAAGCTATACAGTAGCTAGCTACGTCGTTTGTTAGCTAACTTTTCCCGTTGTGTTTATGTTAGCTAGCGGCTTCAAAACAGTACCGTAGCCGGCTAACGTTACTTACTGAGTCTCGAAATGTTCATAGTGTATCCGTTTTGAAAGAATCATGGTCGTTGTCTCCTGCCTTTTTAGCTTGCTAACTACTGTAGCTAGATGTATAAAAGTAACGGACGGCAGATGTCGGTTTGGCCTTGGCCACAACAACTCACCCAAAGCTCCCTTCAAACTTCAGCGCGTGTGGGTTGTTCGCCAACGAACGGTTCTTTTTCTGAACGGAACTTTTTGGTGAACATCAAGAACCGAATAGCATTGGTGAAAGAGCCGTTCATTCGACTCCTTGATTTGCAAACTACTGCTTTTTGAGCTAAAAACTTTTTTTTTTCTCCTGCAGATAAATTACAACATAGTTATCTAAAGTGGGTGAATCCTCACTGCAGAAACAATAAACAGTGGCGAGAGCGTGTCAATCTGGTCCACTCTGATCTTTTTCAGTGCATAATAAAAACGTTATTTTTTTTGCAGGCCATGTAATAATTTGGCCTGGCAAAAACAACATTGAACGCGCACTTCACGATCTGACATAATGGTCGTTTACCTTTTGATCGGAGATGTTTTCATGGTTCTATGTCGATTTTTAATCATTTTGAACGAAGAACCGTTTGGGAGTCAAATGTTTTTTTTTTGTCATTTAGCAGACGCCCTTATCCAGAGCGATTTACAGTGACATTATTTTTTAATATTTTCATACTGGCCCCCCGTGGGAATCGAACCCACAACCCTGGCGTTGCAAACGCCATGCTCTACCAACCACTGCGCCACATCCCTGCTGGCCATTCCCTCCCCTACCCTGGATTCGAACCAGGATCTCTAGTGGCACAGTTAGCACTGCGATGCAGTGCCTTAGACCACTGCGCCACTCGGGAGTGCCCATCACCAGCACCAAATAAACTACCAAAGATTGTTATAACTAAACCAAGATAGACCACAGCCTCTCGTTTCCAATGGAAACAAATGAGTCATAGTGGACAGAACAAGCAAGGAGGTGGGCGGAGCCAAGCACGAGATCCTATTGGCGCGTTCTAGCATAGATCTGCATATTTCCGTTAAGGAACGCCTACTATGTGAAGTGCGCGTGTGCAATAACTTCTTTGCACTCCTTCTAAACAATGTGATTTTTAAAAACTTTTGCGAAGAGTAAAGTCTACAAAACTTAGTCCACTCTGTTCATAACAGATTCTAGTTTTGGGAAAACTGTATTGAGGTCAAATGTTTAATCGATGAGAAAATGTGCGGAATGTCATTCAAAATCCATCCCCTTCCATCTTCTCCCAATGCCGGCCAGAGTGGGCTTCCTCTCGGAAACGCCCAGCGGATGCTTCACATTTATACATCCGGTGAAATATCTGTCTCATTGTTCTATTTGTGACTGTACTGTGCTAGCATTGTGGTGTTCCTGCAAAAATGGCTGTGACTAGATGTCAGGTATAGCCAGAGAGGTAGAGGAAGAGAGATGGAAGTTCATGCAAGTAATGTCATATGACTTGTTTGGAATGAGAAGGAACATTTAGCTAATTAATGGATAAAAGTGGACCTAAACGGTGAATGATATCCAGGTAGTTAAGTGTGAATGATCACCAGGGCGGTGGTTGCTGGTGGGGTCACAGGGTCACGGGGTCACGAAAGACAAGGGAAAAAAAGGAAGAAAGTAGAACATATTATGATATATCATCCTGACCGCTGCAGGCGTCACCACAGACCCGGGTTCGATCCCAGGCGGTGTTACAGCCCGCCGCGACCGGGAGACCCATGAGGCGGCGCACAATTGGCCCAGAGTCTTCCGGGTTAGGGGAGGTTTGGCCGGCTGGAATGTCCTTGTCCCATCGCACTCTAGCGACTCCTTGTGGCGGGCCGGGCGCAGGCGATGGGACAAGACTGGAACTACCAATTGGATATCCCGAAAAAGGGGTTAAAAAAAAAGAACATATAATGAATAAATATGGGCGTGGGGGATTATGGGATTGCAGAAGCCTTCTGGAAGATCTGGTGAAGAAGACTGTTGAGAAGGAGAAAAGGAGAGACGTGGAATGTGGAATGGAGGATTGCACAGAACTTTTGGAAGAGCTAGAGAAGGAAATTGTATTTGACAAGAGTGAGGGTGAATTCATTGTGGTGGCAGAGGAACACCTAGGTGAGAATGCAATTCATTGATGTCACAGGAAGGCCAAAAAGATCATCAAGGACATCAGCCACCCGAGCCACTGCCTGTTCACCCCGCTATCATCCAGAAGGCGAGGTCAGTACAGGTGCATCAAAGCTGGGACCGAGAGAATGAAAAACAGCTTCTATCTCAAGGCCATCAGACTGTTAAATAGCCATCACTAGCACATTAGAGGCTGCTGCTGCCTATTGAAATCACTGGCCACTTTAATAAATGGAACACTAGTCACTTTAATAATGTTTACATATCTTGGACTACTCATCTCATATGTATATACTGCATTCTATTCTATAATATTCTACTGTATCTTAGTCCATGCCGCTCTGTCATTTCTTGTCCATATACAGTATGTATATTTTCTTAAAATCCATTCCTTACTAGTTTTGTGTGTATTAGGTATATGTTGTGAAATTGTTAGATATTACTTGTTAGATATTACTGCACTGTCGGAGCTAGAAGCACAAGCATTTCGCTACACCCGCTATAACATCTGCTAAACACGTGTATGTGACAAATAAAATTTGATTTGATTTGATTTGACTACAGCTCAGCGTTCAACAACATAGTGCCCTCAAAGCTCATCACTAAGCTAAGGACCCTGGGACTAAACACCTCCCTCTGCAACTGGATCCTGGACTTCCTGACGGGCCGCCCCCAGGTGGTAAGGGTAGATAACAACACATCTGCCACGCTGACCCTCAACACAGGGGCCCCTCAGGGGTGCGTGCTCAGTCCCCTCCTGTACTCCCTGTTCACCCATGACTGCGTGGCCAAGCACGACTCCAACACCATCATTAAGTTTGCCGACGACACAACAGTGGTAGGCCTGATCACCGACAACGATGAGACAGCCTATAGGGAGGAGGTCAGAGACCTGGCCGTGTGGTGCCAGGATAACAACCTCTCCCTCAACGTGACCAAGACAAAGGAGATGATTGTGGACTACAGGAAAAAAAAGAGGACTGAGCACGTCCCCATTCTCATCGACGGGGCTGTAGTGGAACAGGTTGAGAGCTTCAAGTTCCTTGGTGTCCACATCACCAACGAACTAACATGGTCCAAACACACCAATACAGTCGTGAAGAAGGCATGACAAAGCCTATTCCCCCTCAGGAGACTGAAAAGATTTGGCATGGGTCCTCAGATCCCATACACAAAAAAAAAAAAATGTATGCACGCATGACTGTAAGTCGCTTTGGATAAAAGCGTCTGCTAAATGGCATATTATCCTCAAAAAGTTCTACAGCTGCACCATCGAGAGCATCCTGACTGGTTGCATCACAGCCTGGTATGGCAACTGCTCGGCCTCCGACCGCAAGGCACTACAGAGGGTAGTGCGTACGGCCCAGTACATCACTGGGGCCAAGCTTCCTGCCATCCAGGACCTCTATACCAGGCGGTGTCAGAGGAAGCCCCTCAAAATTGTCAAAGACTCCAGCCACCCAAGTCATAGACTGTTCTCTCTGCTACCACACGGCAAGCGGTACCGGAGCGCCAAGTCTAGGTCCAAAAGGCTTCTTAACAGCTTCTACACCCAAGCCATAAGACTCCTGAAAAGTTAATCATGGCTACCCAGACTATTTGCATTGATCCGGTGGAGGGCG